TATGAGGTACCTTCTTTGAACGAATTCCCCCCTGAAACAACATGTGTACAATCAATGGGGTCTTTAAGGGGTGTCTAGGGGACACTTTTCGGAACGAAGGGTGGTTTGTTGAGGGGGGTGGAGTGTCCACTTCTGAGGAATCCCCATCATCATCATCATCACCACCACCACCATCATCGTCATCATCCTCATTATTATCATCATCCTCATTATCATCATCACCATCATCATCATCATCACCATCATCATCATCATCACCATCATCATCCTCACCATCATCATCATCATCATTATCATCATCATCATCATCATCATCCTCATCATCATCATCACCATCATCACCATCATCATCATTATTGTCACCATCACCACCACCATCCTCATCACCACCATCATCATCATCATCATTGTCAGCTGTAATAACCGCGTACTTGTCGTGCGGTGGTTGTAACTGCTACAGTTTGGTTCACCGATGATTTGGGGAGGTGGGGTGGGTAGCTGTGCATTAAAGCCGGGAGCTGATAAATTAGTGTGTAAATACAGCACTGTAGGCTGACTGTGCTGGAATGGTTGGTTGGGAAAGGAGCTATGCATTGAAGGTAATAGCTTGAATTCACGACGAGCACCATTGAGGTCGCGACTGGGCCATGTCTGATAATGTGTCTAGCCATTGATGTGGCCCGTCTCGGGGTCTCCATCCAGGAAGACGCCACTGAACAGCACAGCTGAGTTTGCTGGTAATGGCTTTCACACTTCGCTGCCAAGTCATTATTGGCCGCCTCTGGCTCTCTTCCACCCTTCCATGGTTGGGCGAAAAAACCCTTCGAGGAAGTCGGTTGACTGGCATACACAGCACGTGGCCGAGTCAGCGCAACCCGTGCAGTGTGATCAGTTCATCTATCGAGGGTGAGTTATTTCTCCCGAATACCATTCGACGTGCTTCAGCATTGCTGATCCTGTGTTCCCACCAGATTCAGGCAGTGCTCCGAGCGTAAGGTGGGAACACCGGATCAGCGATGCTGACGTACGTCGAATGGTATTCGGGAGAAATTACTCACCCTCGATAGATGACCACACTGCATAAGGTTTCCCATGGAAAGGCATTGTCGCGGTTAACCTATAAACACTCCAGTAAGAATTCATCACCGTTTCTCGGATTCTCATTTTTTGTCCTCTGTCACTCCAAGGCCGGACCTGGGAGAAATGTACCTAATCGCATGGATCAAAAGCTTGGTACAACACATGCGAAATGCAGAATTTTTACATCCACGGAGAGAAGGGCAAGTGACGATTGCCACAAACTTCAATGTATTCCGGTGAACAAAAGCGCCCTAAATTAGCTTTCGGGTATGTGCTCTTCCGTTCGCATTTGACATACCAGAGTTGTTGTCGAGTCGGTAATGATTCAGTAAGGAAAGGTAAGATATCGCTTCTCTCAAGAAGAGTTCCTCATGAGGCGTTTTGCAAAACAAAATATATATATGCCTTGAAGGAAATTTTGTTTTGAATAACCTGCCTTCGACGGCTCGTTGGGTGGGGGTACTGCTTTAAGGAGTAGGGCGATATTCGTAACGCCGTATCATCCTTGTGAATGAAAAATCAGGGATCTTTGTTTTGATAAACTGTCAACCACGCCAGTAACACAAATTCCATTAAAAACGATTTGTCACGTTGGCAACACAACACAATGTTGGGTGCATAGTTCGGCAAACTATTTACGGGTGTGCTGGAGATGAATTCGTATAGGTTTGAATACTAAGACATCTGTCACATGTTTTGAGCTTTTTATACTTCCAGCACGTGTTTGTTCTTGTGAAAACCCTAACGCGTTCTGGCCTTCAGATGGTTACGTGATCGATACAAGTGATCCGGGAATATGATTGTTGGTGTCGCGACCGAGAAAAATTGGAACTGACAAGTGTAATGAGTTGGCAGGCCTGTTCTTGAGTTTCAAAATGCAAAACATTTTTTCAGGCTGAATGATTAAAGTTCGTCTTCTTAATTTACTTTGACAATGAAACCTGTTTGTTATCGTTCGTGGTAAGAAAGCTGGAATCTGCGTGAATTTTTGGTCATTCCACTTAAGAGTGTCAAACCAACGAAAAGAATTTTTAAGAAATCAACAAAGGCACGCATATGTGTGCCAATTCTGTTTTCACCGGAGACCCAACTAATTCATAACCGAATATCTCGTTCTTGATGTTCTTCTCCGTCAAAAACTCCATCTTTTGTGGTATTTCTCGTCGGAGAAATGACGATATCTGCTTTCCACCTTCCAGAAAATTCGTCATTTTACTGACCGCCATGAAGCGTTTATCATCTGCCAGATTGCATCCCTGCCTTCAGCCGCACCGGCTTATCCATCAAACATGTTTTCAAATAAATTTACGGTTTTCATCCCACAAACAACGCACAATATGGGTGAAAAGGAAGAAGGCCTTCGCCGCAAAGCTGTTTATCAGAAAATGCCAACTGAGCATTTACAGACTATTGAACAGGGAAGCAAAATTCTCATATGCATCTAGCTTACAAAAACCGAATATCCATCTTCTTCTTGAACGCGTCTTCCTGAACTTTTCAGGGTATTCATTGACCGTTGCTCGAATTCAAGCAAATGCTAGAAAGGGACTCCACAAATTCCGCAATAGATCTCAATTCTCAAGAGACGCAAAGCGGATTTACGAGAAAACATACTACTCGCAGGCCCTCCCATCAGTAGTATCACCGGTACATGGGTAATGTGTTAGGTCTGGACAAAAACATATCGCGAGATCCGGAATATCGTACAAACGGAAGCGTAAAGCGCCACTGTCATTTGAGACAGACCATCATAAACGGGAGATTTAATCAGGTATCCTTTCAAAGTGAAATTCCCGTGCAACTGAAAGTATTCGTATTCAAGTAGAACATAGTTTTGACGGAAATTTGGGCACTGAAATTACCGGACAAGCCATAAGAAAGCGAAAACCGGTCGTTGTCTGTTGAAGAGTTCTCAGCAACCTTATGAAATGGGTGTATTGGCTGGACGCTCATCCGTACTACCTTCACGAGACCGAAACAGGTGATTGGGTTAATCAATATTGAAAAAAACTACAGGTCTATACCCCGTTTCGGAACTATCCTGAGGGTATTGTCTAGTAGTCCTTGAGTAAGACCGTCACACTTTCAGCAGGTGGTATCTTCTTGAAAGGATCTCAATCGAAGGTGGACTATGACAAACAATGTTTTGAAAACCGGTTAGCTGCGTGAAAGAAACTAAGAGTACAAGCAAAAATTTTCCAATATCAATGGTTTTTGTGCAAAATGTGGGGGGGCCTACATTGGATATCCGTCCTTGCCGACGGAGGTACACAGACGATAGACAGTTGACAAATATGCTCTGCATAAATCGGGGCTCCGTATAAAATATTCTGGCAATTTTGTCCCCAGCAAATTTCACTTCGTGTACAACAATAGAAGGAGCCTTAATTTGCGGTTTTATATATGTTTGTGGCGGGACAGTAAGGAGTTGTAGAGAGCTCGGATAAGTTGATTATGACCTGAAAACAAAGTGATCACATTGTTCACATTTAGTTTCGTGTACACCTTAACATCCTATGTGTATAGCCAGCTCAAAGCTACAGCGAGAATGACGTTCAACTGATAACTTGTTAGTACTGCTCACGGTATCCTTGTGTGTCCGATCGTGGTCGCTGGATCGATTTGCTTTGTACGAACACGTATTAGTCACTGAGAAGGCGAAATTCCAACCTTGGATTTCAGCAACTGCTCATAACTCGGCTGTAGATTTTTCCGGGGTAAATGAACTAATACCCGGATTATAGCTACGAAAATCACGCGGTAAACTGGACGAGGATCAGTTTGCTGCGGGTGTTTGTTCTTCATAAAGTTTGCTCAATTAATCAAACTCTCTTTCTGTATTCGGGTAGGGTAGGTTGGAAATATCTCTTGGAAGTATACAGCGAATCTTTGCTGCCAGTTTACCTGGCACGAGAAACGCACAAGAGTTGGATTTCAGCAAACGGATGCAATTGTCTTTCGCTACCTCAGTTGGGTCGGATTTAGTCGTTCGTTAGCTTTCTGTCAGTTTCTTTGTTTTTTTTCCAAGATAACATGGAACCATAAGCAAGGCAACAAACTTTGAGCTTCAGCGTGACCAGGAGAAATTGTCTGCCTAATGGATAGCTTAACTTTTTAGGAGAGCACTGTCAAATTGAATCGGCCAATCACTGCCTGCCGTGTTTCATACTTAGACGTGGAAACTATTGTCGCGAAATCCTATGAACTGACGGTATATTTAGTGCCGGGAATCGTGAATGGCTTCAAATTCAACGCATGTCTACCCGTTTTGGGGAAACTCGACAAATTATTACAGAATTTATCAAATAAGCTTATTTTGTGAAACTAAGAGCTCAAGATATCCGGTATTCCATGGGAGCATTTCCATTCAAATCTAAATCTATTGTACTTTCGCGTTGGAATAGCTGGCCCTATAACTGTGCTTGATGTACTAACACTTTGTGCTTGTATTTGCTATATTCAATTCCATATCTGTTTCTACAAGAATTCCAAAGAAAAAAACCGTGAGTTAAAGACTGGATTCATCATGGAACTATTGCTGTATATAGTGTGTGTGGTCAATAAGAGTCTTCAACCTTCCATTGGATTAATGCTATTCATATTTTCATTCCAAATCCGGGAGCCTCATTTCATCCAATACATGTTTCCAACATAAACCGATTGTTGAGCCATTATTGACGAGAAAGAAACCGCCAATTCCCCAGTTCAGAAACGTGCAAAAACAATAGTGTGTAAACTAGATGGCAAAGCGTGTGGTGCGCAAACCGGCCACCAATAAGATATCAGAGACAAGTGCAAAGTAACCAATCAGAAAACAAAGCGGTCCTTCACGTAAGGACCAATCAGCTATCAGGATGTCGTGATTGACCGCCAGCTGGTCTGATTGGTAAGCATGACCATTAATCTGCGAGGTTGAGGAACTACTAATGAAAAACCGATGTTTTTGACGGAGAATTATCAAGCTATGCTCTATCGCACTGGAATTTACAATCACTAGAAACATTTGTGGTCATGCTGTCCGCATACACAAACGGGATGAAGTCCCCCAAATCCAGACGAGCTATACTTCGTAGCAAATCACAACGGGAAAGAACCAACCCAAAATGTGTGATATCCTCACGCCATAAGGTGCCAAGTTTTGATAAACTGGATCAGGCTGATAACGGAAAACCTCCAAAAACGCTATTGAAGATTGAAAATGATGGGGGAAATGAGATTATTTATATTCTCCCACGACGTGCACAAGATTTGGGGCATACAGCAGACTGCGCGGTTTTGAAACAGAGTGCCAGGATAATGGCAGACGAAAGTCCTAACAAGCGTGTGCAAACAAAGCGCCGTGACAACAGAAATCCAACACTTTTGGAACGGTTGGTTCACAGTCGAAATATATGGTGTTGTCCGAATATTGACAGGAATATGTCTGAGGAATTGTTAAACGGTGCAGAGCAGGGGGTGAGTCAATGACTTTCCTGTTTTTTTAGATGTGATGAGGTTGAAAATGACGTTGGGTCTCTTGGAATAAAGGTCGCTAACTTGCGTATTGTTCACATAAGTGCTAGACAAATTTATCCAGCAAGGTAGCTGATTTAAATCAAACAGAATGGAAATTTTTCTGCAGAATGGTTTGCTCAGAGTGGGAAGCTGAATACTGACCCTGTCTGGGAGTAGTCAAGTTCAAAATCTTGGTGACACTAAGACTAAAATGTTGAGATTCTGTAGAACGAAAAATATGTTGGCTCGATAAATTTCAATTTGATGTTTGCTCCATTCCATCTCTCGCTAATCAGTTGTTTTTGGGCCTTTCCCACTCTTTGGACAGACAACAGGCAACGAAGTTTTTTATGACAGTAAAAATTATTCGGCCGTGACACCTTTTCGACGCCTAGCGGCTTGAAAAACTTGATAAAGCACGAGGGCTGAGATACAGTCATACAGCCTAGGTAAGCGCAGTTGAAATCCTGGAGTTGGGTTCGAACCATGGATCTTCCGGCCTTAAACACTGAGCCGTTTTCAACTCAATTTGTAGCTTAAGTTCGGATGAATGATTATTGTTCGTTATCGTAAGAAACTCCTAAATCAGACAGATTAGAAAGGAGTCACCCTGGGCTATTTACTTAAAAGTGAGGTTAAAATTTTAGAACACAGGCTAGAGTTTCTTTGAGCACAACAGTCTACCACTGGCCCTTCGAAGCTTTATCTACTGTGCTTCATCGGTAAGCGTGATTCAAACCAAACAGCGCTTGAAAATTCGGGTCAACAAATTGAAAAACAGCCCCAACTTGATGTTGAAATTGGGACAACTATAATCCGGTCGTTGTAACATAGCATTTGTAAAAACCGTACATACTTTACAGCCACACTGCATGTTCCAGTTCGTCGACATTGTATATCAAGTACCTTGAAATTGACTTTGATCTCAAACGAGTCACGTTATTAACCCTCAGGAGATGCTCGCCAGTATAGTTAGCTTGGTACTGGGTTTGTGCATTATACGTACAAACGCAGCTGGTGTTGCCGGTCTCTTAGGCGTTGGGCCGATTTCAGTAACACTGCGAGTAGTATTTTGTTGTACCAAGTGGAACATGTGACGACCTTTGTGAGGCACAATCGATCATTAACGAAAGTTTCAGCTGAAATTCATTTGAGTCTCTTGTCTAAGTCAAATTGGTATGCAAGTGAATGTATTTCGCAACTTGGGTTCAAATAGAACTCAAGTTTGATGGAACATCGCGGACCGCCACTAAATAATGAGTATTCCAAAATGTGTAAAAGTGGTTGCGAANGTTTCTACAAGAATTCCAAAGAAAAAAACCGTGAGTTAAAGACTGGATTCATCATGGAACTATTGCTGTATATAGTGTGTGTGGTCAATAAGAGTCTTCAACCTTCCATTGGATTAATGCTATTCATATTTTCATTCCAAATCCGGGAGCCTCATTTCATCCAATACATGTTTCCAACATAAACCGATTGTTGAGCCATTATTGACGAGAAAGAAACCGCCAATTCCCCAGTTCAGAAACGTGCAAAAACAATAGTGTGTAAACTAGATGGCAAAGCGTGTGGTGCGCAAACCGGCCACCAATAAGATATCAGAGACAAGTGCAAAGTAACCAATCAGAAAACAAAGCGGTCCTTCACGTAAGGACCAATCAGCTATCAGGATGTCGTGATTGACCGCCAGCTGGTCTGATTGGTAAGCATGACCATTAATCTGCGAGGTTGAGGAACTACTAATGAAAAACCGATGTTTTTGACGGAGAATTATCAAGCTATGCTCTATCGCACTGGAATTTACAATCACTAGAAACATTTGTGGTCATGCTGTCCGCATACACAAACGGGATGAAGTCCCCCAAATCCAGACGAGCTATACTTCGTAGCAAATCACAACGGGAAAGAACCAACCCAAAATGTATCCTATCCTCACGCCATAAGATGCCAAGTTTTGATAAACTGGATCAGGTTGATAACGGAAAACCTCCAAAAACGCTACTGAAGAAATGATGGGGACAACGGGAAAGAACCAACCCAAAATGTGTAATATCCTCACGCCATAAGATGCCAAGTTTTGATAAACTGGATCAGGTTGATAACGGAAAACCTCCAAAAACGCTACTGAAGATTGAAAATGATGGGGGAAATGAGATTATTTATATTCTCCCACGACGTGCACAAGATTTGGGGCATACAGCAGACTGCGCGGTTTTGAAACAGAGTGCCAGGATAATGGCAGACGAAAGTCCTAACAAGCGTGTGCAAACAAAGCGCCGTGACAATAGAAATCCAACACTCTTGGAACGGTTGGTTCACAGTCGGAATATATGGTGTTGTCCGAATATTGACAGGAATATGTCTGAGGAACTGTTAAACGGTGCAGAGCAGGGGGTGAGTCAATGACTGTCCTCAGTTTTTTAGATGTGATGAGGTTGAAAATGACGTTGGGTCTCTTGGAATAAAGGTCGCTAACTTGCGTTTTGTTCCCATAAGTGCTAGACAAATTTATCCAGCAAGGTAGCCGATTTAAATCAAACAGAATGGAAATTTTTCTGCAGAATGGTTTGCTCAGAGTGGGAAGCTGAATACTGACCCTGTCTGGGAGTAGTCAAGTTCAAAATCTTGGTGACACTAAGACTAAAATGTTGAGATTCTGTAGAACGAAAAATATGTTGGCTCGATAAATTTCAATTTGATGTTTGCTCCATTCCATCTCTCGCTAATCAGTTGTTTTTGGGCCTTTCCCACTCTTTGGACAGACAACAGGCAACGAAGTTTTTTATGACAGTAAAAATTATTCGGCCGTGACACCTTTTCGACGCCTAGCGGCTTGAAAAACTTGATAAAGCACGAGGGCTGAGATACAGTCATACAGCCTAGGTAAGCGCAGTTGAAATCCTGGAGTTGGGTTCGAACCATGGATCTTCCGGCCTTAAACACTGAGCCGTTTTCAACTCAATTTGTAGCTTAAGTTCGGATGAATGATTATTGTTCGTTATCGTGAGAAACTCCTAAATCAGACAGATTAGAAAGGAGTCACCCTGGGCTATTTACTTAAAAGTGAGGTTAAAACTTTGGAACACAGGCTAGAGTTTGTTTGAGCACAACAGTCTACCACTGGCCCTTCGAAGCTTTATCTACTGTGCTTCATCGGTAAGCGTGATTCAAACCAAACAGCGCTTGAAAATTCGGGTCAACAAATTGAAAAACAGCCCCAACTTGATGTTGAAATTGGGACAACTATAATCCGGTCGTTGTAACATAGCTTTTGTTAAAACCGTACATACTTTACAGCCACACTGCATGTTCCAGTTCGTCGACATTGTATATCAAGTACCTTGAAATTGACTTTGATCTCAAACGAGTCACGTTATTAACCCTCAGGAGATGCTCGCCAGTATAGTTAGCTTGGTACTGGGTTTGTGCATTATACGTACAAACGCAGCTGATTTTGCCGGTCTTTTAGGAGGTGGGCCGATTTCAGTAACACTGCGAGTAGTATGTTGTTGTACCAAGTGGAACATGTGACGACCTTTGTGAGGCACAATCGATCATTAACGAAAGTTTCAGCTGAAATTCATTTGAGTCTCTTGTCTAAGTCAAATTGGTATGCAAGTGAATGTATTTCGCAACTTGGGTTCAAATAGAACTCAAGTTTGATGGAACATCGCGGACCGCCACTAAATAATGAGTATTCCAAAATGTGTAAAAGTGGTTGCGAACGTTTGAAGACTTCTCAGCGGCCTTACGAGTAGTCCTCATTCAAGTGTTCATCTTCTTGTTTGTGTGTAATGCTTCTGTCGAGAGAAATAAAACACTAACTCACGGCCTTTTTCCTAGTTTAATCCACCAAAAAATATCAGTTCGGAATCATCTACACCACGAAACACTGGATATGTGCAACATGACGCGTAAAGGTTTTGACAAAAAGTCTATTCCTGCTCGTCTCTCAGTTCATGCTCTTTCGGAAGGTTCGGGCTTAATAGCTGGATAGGTTTTTCCCCATACAGAGAAATAAAAACCGCGAGAGCCTTTCCACCTTGATTATTTGGAGGAGACTACTTTTTGGCAGCTAGATAAGAACCGAAAGCGCAAGTATGAGGGAGTGTACACGAGTTGTTGACATATCTCTCCCCTGGATTTCGACCAGTGTTGCATGATTACTGCTCAATACATCAAGACTTAGAAGCGCGAAGCTTATCTACATTTTAGGTTAAATCTTCATCATCTGTGGCACTTGTGATCCTAAATCGATGGGCGTTATTCTTTGAACTGAGGGAGATTCAATTGAGAATGCTCGTTTCCACCTTGCACTCCTGCTGCTCACCAAATCAATTCGGTAGCCGGTCACGTGATACAGCCCCACATTTTTTTATTTTCATTCTTCCATCAGTAACCAGGAATCTGTGGAATTTGAGGAAACCATGAACTAGTTAACTTCTATTCCGACAAATAGACTCATTTGAAAATCGATTTGGTTTTCACGAGGGACTCCACTTAGGCCTCCGTTTATAATGTTAATCAACTGAATGTGCCACACATGTTTAAGTTGGTACGATATTCGAGATATTGCTGTATATTTTCATAAAGCAACCTAACCACATGGTTGCTGAATACTGTTCGACAGCCTTGATTGATTTGAGTCTCTCATGAAAACCAGATTGATTTGCAAATGAGTGTATTTGTCGAAATCAGTTCGATTTGGGTTCAAGTAGAATATAAGGTTGACGGAAACTTGGAGACTGTGTCTACCTGATGAATCCCCAAAGGGGGCGAAACCGGTCATCGGCTGCTCGAAGAGTTTCCAGCGACCTTGCGAGTAGTTTGCTTTCCTTAACTTGTATAATGAACATGAAATTAGCTTTTGCTCTGGGTTGGAGAACCGATAATATCCCAGGCGCTATGACTGGTGAGTCTGAAGTTGGTTCACAATCAATATCATTCTGCTATTGGTC